ATGGTGTAATAGTTTATCAAAGCATGTTGATTCAGGAACACGTCCTACTTGGCTAAATCACGTCATGGCCTATAGTAAGAAATTGCCTACTCACCAACTCTAATAATCATCTACAACCAACTCTAACCCATCTACATGAATTCATGTCCATTAACATGCCGCCATTGTTTTTGTAATCTTGACAAGTGTATAAAAAGCATAGTAGTAGCAGAGCTTGAGTCATTGCTGACATTCATTCCCTTCACAAATACTTTCACCAGGGACACCTCACTTGAATGCCATGCCAGAATTACAGCACTGGGACCGTTATAGGGGTGTGTGGTGCTTAACCCTGGTGCTGTAAATCCTCCAGCAGAGCATTAGCATCAAACAGAACGGCTCAACGAGACTTTGCACTAATCAGACATGATACAGAGCAAAGGAAGATGTTGGGAGGGGTCGAACGGATAAAAATGATAATTGAATTGAAATGTTGGAATATGCAGAGAGGCCTTTAGCAGAAAGAAGTTGGGTTTACAAGACATGCGCCTTTAGGCCTCTGAGGCAGACTCGTGGAAAGAAGAGGCCTCTGAGGCAGACTCGTGGACAGAAGAGGCCTCAGGAGGGCAGTGTGCAGCCCACACGCTCAAAATGGCGACCGCCGTTACAGGAAGGGCAGCAGAGTATGGCAGGACCTCTAAGGCGGCGGGGCTTGAGAGCGCTGACGTCACTGGGATGCCTGCAGCTCTCACCGACATCAGTGGTAAGTCCATCACGGTAGCTATCAGTCTTTTCAGTCTTGGCCCAAGCTCCGCGTCCGCCTCAGGCGTGGCGGCCATCTTGGCCGGGGACTCTTGTGTGACCGGCATGATGTGAGCAGGCTCTGGCTTGGCAGACGTGATGTGAGCAGGCTCTGGCTTGGCAGACATGACGTTAGCAGACTCTGGCTTGTCAGACATGAATTGAACAGGTTCTGACTTGGTAGATATGACATGAGTAAACTTTGACTTAACTGGCATGACGTGAGCAGGTCCTGGAGTAGCAGGCATGACGTGAGCAGGCTGTGGCTTGGCAGACATGACGTGAGAAGGCTGTGGCTTGGCAGACATGACGTGAGAAGGCTGTGGCTTGGCAGACATGACGTGAGAAGGCTGTGGCTTGGCAGACATGACGTGAGAAGGCTGTGGCTTGGCAGACATGACGTGAGAAGGCTGTGGCTTGGCAGACATGACGTGAGAAGGCAGTGGCTTGGCAGACATGACGTGAAAAGGCTGTGGCTTGGCAGGCATGACGTGAGCAGACTTTTGGGAAGTGTCATGTTCCTTCTCCATGACACCAAAAGTGTAAGCAGACTCACTCATTCTCAAAGCAAAATCTATATATTGCTCTAGAGACCAATTTATTTTCCCCCCAGGTAGCTGGAAACGAATGGGTTCATTAAGACCCACCCGAAATATGTCCTTAAGGGCCACATCATTAAAATCCACTTGGTGACAAAGTCCACAAAAGTCCTCCACGTAATCCTCTATGGCCCGGTTTCCTTGACAAAGGCAGAGGAGGCGTGAAACTGCTGGGTTCATTGTGGGGTGGTCGTATTCTGTAACGAATCAGTCCACTGAAGGCGAGCATAGTGAAGAACCCATGTGCAGTTTATTCACAGATGTGATCCAAACACCCAAACAATAAATGAAGACTTGAAACACAGACTTGACTTGACGAGGCATGAACAGACTTGACTAGGCATGAACAGACTTGACGAGGCATGAACAGACTTGACGAGGCATGAACAGACTTGAC